CAAAGAAACATAGAGAAAAGTATCTATTTTCACTACACATATGATGATAACATCTTCCATTTTCTAATAGGCATGTGATGTATATTTAGTCTTTTCATAATGTTAGTGCAATGTGATGCTTAAAAATAAATACTGAGATTAAGCCAAGATGTTTATTTTAGAAGCAATAAGCCTTTATCAAGGCCTAAATTTCTATTAACAATCTTATTGTTATCTGCAGTTTTAATGTTGTTAGGTAATAAGTTCCAAGGACAGATATGTTTACCATTTAGATAACCAGGTAATAAGTTCCACTGTAAAATATTACTTTATTGATTAAGTTAGCCTTAAAAAAATGTTCATTTCAATTGAGATGCTGTTAGTGTACTTAGTAGATGTTTGTACAGTAGAAGCATAGTTGAAGCATTAAATAAGGAAAAATGTTTGGTTATAATGTAGTCTTATGTTTTAGCCAATATAATTTTCTATATTACTTGGAAGTACTAAGAGTTGATTAAAGGACATTAGATTTGTCTGCACTTTCTTGAAAAATGTGTTGTTTCCTTATTAAATTGTCGGTCACCTTATCAGCTAGTTGGTTCTTTAGTGGAATTTCATTGGCTATAAAGTAAGAGGAGGTTTCTCAAAGTATGTAAAACAATGTAATGCTGTTCTAAGGAAAAATAAGAATGGAAACCAAATAAGATGAGTGTTTTTGTCCCTTGTTGAATAAGTTAATTGATTGCTTTAACAATGCTGCATAATCAGTTTATATATTTTCTTTTGGTTTATCATTTATAGCTTTGCAAATTCATTACAATTTTGGAATCATGAAATAAAACAAATTCTTATAGCTTAAATATTTCCAGTACTTGTGCCACTTGTGTTTTTCACTGATTCATTTTCTGGCTCGGCTTCAGCACCAGTTTTAAGCTGTAGATCCTTGCTCTGAAAATAACTGTTATATAGGGAAAAAACTACCTGTGTCATCTCTGTACTGGAGCTGTTACCATTGGTAGAAATGGTGGGGCTTCACCATTGCTGAAAAACTTCTAGCACTTTTCCCACTGTAAACAAAGCCTTAGGGACCAGCCCGGGTGATCAAACATAGCTGTTATGTGGCCATAGGTGTTTTTGCCCAACACATACAAGGTAAATCAGGGCTATGAGATGTAGCATCCACATAATCAAATGACAATCAACAAGTAATTTTATACCATCTCAAGTGAAATTTTACACCATCTACAGAAAGGTGTTTCTTTTTTTTTTTTCTTCTCAGAACAGTTGTCCTTTTACATGTGACCTTTATTTTCCAGGTGTGGGTCACTACATATCAGGATCATTTGTCTCAACCCTTTACAAATAAAGAATATAAGGAAATGAAGATTTGTAACTCCATGCTAAATGAAGATAACTTTGAAGATGGTGTTATTGACAGGTATATTATATTGAATATAGCATGCACTACAGAATTTGCATTCAAATGGCAGATGCATAAAAAAGAATGATAAAAATATATCACTTCTACTTTCTTCCCTTGGAACATACCAGGTCCCCTCACCAGATTTGCCTTTTATTCATGGTAGCATCATAAACCTCTGACTTAGGACCACCTTTCCTTTTATCGCATCTGTAGATATGACAATCTGTAAATAAGAAGAATGGTACAGGGATATCCATCCACCAAATCACAGGGATCCCACTTTAAAGTAAAAGTTTTTATAACTTCTGAGTTGAACATTTTCCCTGATGTGGATCATCTCTAGGTTTGAGCTCCAGGAGTGATCCTCAGTTGCCACACTGGCCATATCCAGCTATCAGAAAGCAAGAGCTACATATATTAATAAGTATCTGAGTGGTATAATACATTCCATCCTTCAGACAGCAATAGTAAGCACATGTAGAAATGATAGTCTGCTAACTTGTGCACTAATTTCAGTTCTGGTAGAAAGAATTACATTTTACTTTAGTTGAGAAATATAATTAATGTGAATCCAGTTTCTCTCTTAATGAATATGGGAGAAATGTGCCATTTGCTAGTTTAATAATTTCTGCAAGTGTTCATACAGATCTGAGAGATGCTTTCTCTTTAAATATTAATAATTGAAATCTTGGTTTAAACCAGTTCATAGAGGGTAAAGTCTGAAAAAATTAACTGCTGATGATTCTGCTATTTCTCTGAAAATTTTTATCTAATTTGCAGGAAGACTGGACTACCCCAAACAGGCATGGGAGCTGTGTTACCAAGACACCCTCCAGACCACTTTAAAATGTTAGTGATGTTTAAAAACAGCAAATTGCAACATGCTTTTTGATGACAGATTATACTAGTCTTTTGTGGAGTGTGGAAAAGGATTGGTAAGGTCTCGGTAATATTGTTTTACATAAGGTGAAACAACAATACTGTCTTTTGAATTGTTACTCTTGGATTATCTATCTTATTTTTCATAGCTATAAGTGTACATGGATTTCACTTCCAACATTGTGTGTAGTGGTGCACCAGTAGAGATTTTGGGGGCTGATATCGATAGCCAATTTTTAAGGAGGCATATCGACTGATACCAGTCTGATTTCCAATACAGCTGCATGTAACTGGTAAGTTTGTTGTGGTGGAAGGGGAGGGGGGAGGAAAGGGACATGGTGGGGGCAGATAAATGTCCCCTGTGGTGAGGGAGGGAGTAGGGCTGGGGCTGGGGCAGCCACTGCCCAACCAGGGCAGGGCGTGGGATGGAGCCATGGCCAACCCGGGGGACAGGGGATGCCTCCTGCCACTGTGTGCTCTGCGGGAAGGCCTGGGCGGGGAGGGGAGGAGGTGTGTGCTCCTGGATTTGTGCAGGGTGAGGGTAGGTAGGCTGCAGCTGCAGGCTGGGGTCAGGGCTGCGCCAGACTCTTCCTGATGGGGGCTGGACCATGCTGTGCTCAGGGCGGCAGCAGTGCTAGGAGGGTAGCTACAGGGGGTGCTGCAGCCACCCCAGATTTAGCCATAACTTCCCCATAATAGCCCCTCCTGCTGCTGCCCGCCCTGAGT